CTATAATTAGGCCGAAACCGCTTAGTCATACTATCGTAGCATACTTAATCCGCTGCAGAACTGGAAGAAAAGGGGACAGCAAATACAACTACTTAATCCAGCATGCTGGTTGTTTGGCGCTTTTATCAGAGCTCTCTAGCGACAACCTCTCTAACAACCTCTTCTTACTCATGTTGCACACGCGAAACACAGTTCTTCCCATTTCCTGGTTAATAAATCCAAGCTAGCACTTGAAATGTGCCTTACAGAGAGATTGGGTTGGGCCGAGTTTTGAATACTCATGGAATTTAGTCCCTGTCTGGTATACCAGAAATATTCGGACATCATTGTCTGGGGTCGAACTCGAAACGGCTTCCGCTCATTGTCAGGCCAACCTAGCCTTCTACTCTCCAAAAACGGTAAACTGGTGTCAGACCCGGATAAGAACACAGAATCCTTTATCTGGTGACCCCCGCAGGTAATTGTAGGCCACATCGCATTGAGTAAGTCACTACGATTCCGAATGGTAGTGGAATGCGTGCCGCTTCCCAACAGAGGTCATCAACGGCAAAAACTTAACCTTTTATTTCACCAAGGGTGGTAAATTGGTGCCGCCTGTCAAGAGGATGGCCAAGCGGTCAATCGCGGACTAATTATTACCAAGGCCTACGAAGCCGGAGACGGGCAAGAGAATCGTAGTTTGCCGCTCCGCCGCGCGCGGCGATGGGCGCGGCATTTTCTTAACTCGTGTTAACCTGTCGATTGGAGCACCGGACTTCATGTAGACCCCGTCATCGTAGACATTCATGACTATTTTCGGTTCTGAATTGCTTGTCGCCATCTACTACCTTGGAACCAACATCATTTGCGGGCGACGCCCACCAGCGCGATGAATTGCGACGTCGCACGCGACGCCCACCAGCGCGATGAATTACGATTCTCTTGTCACATTCCCGAAGCCTGCTTTTACTCCAAGTTCTGTGACTGGTGCCAGACTTGTCCGGATGAATAAAAGCTTTGAACTACACAGCTCATGGTCCAGAAAAGTCTTTGTATAAGCCAAATCGCATACGAAACGTCAACATGTTCCTCAATGGGAAGTGAGTGCGTGGCGCATCCCACAAACACCCGAAACTTATCCTTACACCTCGCTACAGGCCGAAGATTGCGCAGTAGTTATGGAGATTACCGCTAGCTTGATCGGTTGGACTGTATCTGAATTTATAAGACGAGTCGAAGACGACATAAATAAGGCCCCAAGATTGGACGAGTATTCCAAGAGGCAAGACACCGGTGCACGAGCGACACTCAAAGGATGAGAGGATAGGAAGACGAGCTGGTAGACGAAAGAGACCAAAGGTCAGCCCCACACAAAATCGAAGTAACGTATTACACATAATTTTATCGATAAGGACTACTGGCATATCTTGGACCAGATGAGCAAGGCAGCCTCTGCGGGAGGATTTCTTTCGGCTTCTGACGACGGCTACACCCTTGTCACTCATGGTCGAGCAAAACGTTAGAACCTCGCATAGCGTGGACCGGATTAAGTGTACAGGATTCTACTGCCGATTCTATGACTCTCCAATGGCGCTGCCTACGAACATCTTCTCAAACAGAGCTAATGCTGCAGGATAGACTGAAGGACAGCGATACTAGGGCGCCGTTTGGAACGGTCTCCCCCGCGTTGCCATCCGGCCACCCACACGCGTGACTGTAACCAAACGCGCTACTTATGCGCGCCCTCTCATTCCGGCTTGCCGCAAAGCGTGTTTTGCTGGGATCATGGTATCGACGCCAGACTTCTTCGTGAAAGCTCTGAACGAATGGTATGAAGTTCATCGTGTCCCTCGAGCAGAGAGAGTTCATTGGGCAACTCTTGCACGTTGCAGGGACGAATGGAGACGTTACTGGCGCCCGCTCGAGGAACCCGCTCGAGAACTCGATGATCAACGGGAGCAAGGATGATACAGGTTGATGAGTATCGGACCCAATTACTGCCACCTAGAGGATCAGCGCGGTGAAGTTCAAAAACAGCAGCTCAGAGTTCACATTACTCTTCGCCTTCATATGTGCGGCACTTCAAGTGCGAAGCTGTTAAACTTTGCTCGTCATGGCAGACGTCCTCGAGGTTGAACACGTACGGACGGTCCCCTCCCTGCATCCCGTTGTTAAGTCAGATCTAGTTATAAACCTTGCAGATGAGGTAGAAAAGTCCAGTGAAAACTCTTATTTCATCGTTAGCGCTTCTCCAGGACCCTTTTCAGAAAAATTATTGTATGAATTCTACCATGAGAAGTTTAGAAGGATACCTGTGCAGGTGTCACATCACCCTGCGAGAATGGTGGTGCAGGTGGCTGGCAATGAAGCACAGCTCGAAGTCCATCTTCAGCTGCAGGCGAGTTCAGCATTAACTGAACACAACACCAGACATAGTCCTGAAATCAAAGCTCACAAAAACCTTAATCGAATCCAATAGAACCAAATTTACCTTGAGGGACGCTACACAGTAGGCTGCACTGATCGCCTTTTGCAGAATGTCTAGCCGTACAGCAGGTGGAATTCCGCTCGTCGTTACAACCGCTTTACCGTCGAGCTGCAGCGCACGTACACAAATCGCACCTCGCGTAGTACACGTTGGCTTTCTGCATGAATAGATTCACTCAACTCTGCGGATTACCCTACGGAAATTGCGGCAAGGCGCGTAAATGAAATGGGGTCTCTTTTTTGTTCCTGAGAATGAGAAATGTGAGGTCTAAATAGGACGCGCAAGACAATTCAGCGAGCATGGAAAGTTCGTAGTAGCGGTGGTCAGAAGTAGACGTTATGTGCGCCAGACATGACCTGCCTGCGAAAAGGAAAGGGGAAGAAACCGTCAAACACGCTTCAAATGAGGCCGTATTTGTGCGAGAGATGAAGAATTGATGTGGATATTAGGCGAAATGCCAGAAAAAAACAGCGAGAGAGTATGCAAACAAGCAAGACAGCAGATAAGACATCTATCAACGCGGGTGGAGGCAACTTGAGCAATTCGTCCGCGGTGGGCAGTCACTGAGGCAAATTTCTTGGCTTTCCCGCCGCTTACACTTACCACTTCCTGAATGAAACTCTGTAGAATCATTGCGGCCCCACTACTCGTCTGAGAACAGTTACAACCTTAGATGACTACGTTGATACGTTGCGTCCGTGGACTCTGCCCTTAGAACATCAACCGACTGCTTACCTCAATGATTCCCTTCCTATACATACGGAAACAACCGTACTTCTTGAATTGTGCCATAGCCGCATTCAACAACGAAATAACTCCTTCATAGTTTACAACCAGTCGATGCTAAACAGCGATCTTGAGGAACAACAGATGAGATATTAGTTTACCACAATGACATGAAGTATTAGATGTTCTCAATCTACCCGAACAACAGCGAAAAGACATCTCACCGAGGATAGCGTAACAGCGTTCTTCTACACCGCTAGGCGAGGCAAGCCATCATAGCTATTCTCCAGGACGTTGACCAAAGAAAATCTGGAAAGCTCAAGCAGATCAATCCTCTGGACAGATGTACACAACAGACAAGAAACCAACGGCTATATAGCATAAAAAATTAAGAACATAAATGTATTCTGATTGTTAGACCATTGGATCAGGGACATTAGGATAATAATGTTTGTTAGCGGACTACCTGAACCCCGAAAGAAATTATCGAAAGCCCACAATACTACAGGAAACATTGGAATTTTCAGCGCCGTTCGGCTTGAAGGGGATTCTCTTCATTCCTTAGGTCAAAACTCGTGTCCACCTTGCAAACCCTCTGATTCCGTGGTACAGCTATCATAGCAGTACCTCTCTTACACTCTGACAAATAATCTACGGTGTCGCCTAAGCACAGACATGTGATTCAACCGGGAACTAACAAAACTTAAAGCAATGAGTAAAACAGCGGCCCTCTCAAGCCGATTAAGCGCCGATTTCTATAGAAAAGAGATAAGTGATCAGTGGTTACGCTTCTCACACAATTTTTCTCATTTAGGTGCCAAGTCATGATTTTGTTGACTCGCCGAATAAGAGAATGCCAGCCACAGTCGGATGTGTACCTGGTTCAATCGGTCAAAGGTGCCAACGGCTGTCAACCGGATTAACAACAGCTTGCTCGAAAAGTGCGGCGCAAAAATGCCAAACCTGAAGCGATAAAGCGTTACTATATACTCAATTGTCCCTTCCTTTGGTCGATCTATATTACTGATACAAGTCAAAAGGAACAAGCCCGCCCACCTGTTTCGCATTCCACAACTGCAACTCGATGTTCGCCAGTTGAGGTGTCGGATAGACGCCGGTTGGACCGGCAAAGAACACCGCTTGATGCCGACGCATTTGATTAATCGCCTCTACGGCCATATTATGCAGGAAACACAATTCACAAATCTAAAACTGCTTCTAACCTCATGAATTAGCAGAAAGGGCTCTGGGAGAAGAGTGGGTGGGGAGGGCCAGACTTCGGCGAGACTGAGCCATGTCTGCTCGCCTGGATACTGCTTGGTGGGGAAAGATTGAGGTGCTAGGCCCTATCGTTCGTAACCACAGCGCCGGAGGTGACCTGGTGTCGGTTTCACTGCTCTTTTACTCCATAGCATTAGCTTCACATACCGTGCTCAGATTAGCAAGGGCGCTACTGTAGCTCGAAGTGGTCACGTGTCGTCGCTATTATGAGAGAACCGTACTTCCACCTTGAAGGGTGATCCTTGCCGTGTGCGAGGCGAATGGGTTTGCTTAAAAGTGCTTGCGTCGGGGTTTGAAGGCAGTGTATCGCTTGCCGTCTCCATATCCGCCGCCTTATCTTCGAGGTGCTGCACTTGCACTTGTACCAGGTCCCGCAGCGAACACACAGTTAGTGGTAGACAACGAATGTAATGGAAGGAGTGGAGACAAGAAGCGTTCGCCGACAGGTTAGCGTGTTGCTAGCAATGCGGCCGGAACATGAAGACGACTCCCAGGTCTCAGTACCCTCCAGCTCGTTCCAAGTGCCCTTTTGAGCAGAGAAAGTGGCATGAGTGCAGCTGTAGACGCATCACCTTGCACCTGGCTAAGACCTTGATTTCACGGAGATTCTTTTTGAAAACAGTCTGTCTCTGACGGTGCAGTCCGAGCGTTTCAAAGTAGGCAGTGCCGATTTCGCAATGGAAACGCTCCATTCTGTTCTCCGATGTAGATTAAACTGCGTTCCTCGGCACCTTTTTTCATTGAGGCATTATTACTTCTCATACCCAGGCATAGCCTTTGAATAGCAGAGCGACGACCAGAGTCCTTACGAGCGATATGACACGCCTCCAGCGATAAAAAGGTTATGTTGAGCGGTGTCAGCGGGGTTAAACCGCCACGCATTCATTGCTGCGTTCAACCGCTTCCCGGTACATGGCCACTTGGAATGAAATTGGCATCATTTCGTTGCGCATCATATCGTTCGTGTTTTCCCAGTATGTTTACGAGGAGCAACGAAATGCCTATGCTCCCTCCCTCCACCCCTCCCTCGCCCATAGGGGAAAGTTACAAGATTTATTTAATTTGCCTAACCCACTTTGTGTAATTAAGTAAGCCAACAACGCTACGCCATTCAAAAATGTCTGTGACATCCCAGCCTTCCATATGATCCTTGCAGTGTTCATAGGCAAGACGATAATTCCTGTAAAAAATGATAGAGTGAGGCGGAGGTTATGTCCGGGAGTCATACCCGGATCGGCTCTCGCCCAGACCACAAGCCTTCTCCCCTCCGGAGACGATAAATCGGTACCACATTCGCCTGAGAGGATAAACACCTTGACTTGTAAAAAATGATATGTCTCCGATTTCCACAATGAATATCAATGGGTCCTTGTTTCTTCTTTTAGCCTCAGACACTCCATAGAAGCACCCTCCTTATTTGGTCCCATCAACCTTCAATGGACTCCTGTTACGCCTGTGGAATGTAGCACTGGAACAATCTTCTAAATGCCCTAACTGGCTTCTCGATTCATACAACAAGAACGCATTGGAGCGTTTGGAGAACCGAAAACGAACGTAGCTTCATGAACGGTGCGACGTTCCCTTTCACGCATTCTACAGAAGAAACAAGAACAGAAACAAACTTTCACCGCTGTTCGTCTTGGGAGGGAGGAGGGAAGAAGGCCTTTTCTACTTCCCTGGTCTCCTTTATTATTTCCTGTTAACTTATGCGTTTCACCTGTGGACTCTTGTCAAGTGTAAACCTGCTAACTCAGCTTACCCTGTGAGAATTGTAGACTCTTAGGTGAACGAAGCCCATACTACCGCAGAGCTTTACAAGAGTTTACAGGTCTTTATAGGAGGCGTGTGCAATGACCCTGGAAACCTCCGAAATGCTCCCCTCAAGCCGAACTGCGCCCGAACTTCCCTTCCTTTGCGAAACCGCTCGGTAGTCGGGTGCGGGACTACTTGACCGCGTCTCTGTATTCTTCCCCAAAAAAGCTAAGGCTTAAAGGGCACGATAGGATTCACCCACATGTCCCTTTGATTATCATTAGAATAACAGATATGAAACATATAAAGAATATGAAAGAGTTTGGTGAAAAGAAACAGACGCAAATGTTACAGGACTTATTACAACCTAATAGGTTAGCTTCTGAAGGCCTACTTACAGTCTGTTCGCTGCGGATGATGGGGCGTGTCAAGTGGGCGGGTTTGGCGTCGCGCCAGACTCGTTATTCACCAATTGTTGAACCGAGCAAGCACCAAAACTATGTCATATTGTTCGTATCAGTCATTTTCTACCAACTCTTGCCGCTTACCCACTTCAACAAATGGACTCGCGCCGGGCCAAAACCATACCGCCTGACACGCCCCTTCATCCGCAGCGAACAAGACTGTAGCCAACTAAATTGAGGAAAAAAGTAAATACTACTGAGGAATGATAAAGGCTTTTGAAAATGTTAATAAAATTAA